AAGTTTGTTTGTTTAAGTTTGATTTTTTCCTATGACCTGTAACAGCCATGACTCTAGTCAAGCACAAGTTTGTTTGTTTAAGTTTGATTTTTTCCATGACCTGTAACAGCCATGACTCTAGTCAAGCACAAGTTTGATTGTTTAAGTTTTATTTTATAAAAACACATCTTTGTGATAAGCACAATATTACTCCTGAAGAGGTTTAAATAGAAGCACTGGAATTATGTTAAAAAGGAGAGTTTGGAAATACAGATTATTTTACTCTGTCCTTTGTTACACAGCTTGTTTCCAGCAGCAAAAATTAGAGTAAACGTAACACAGCGTTGTATGTATTGTAAATCAAGCATTTCTGCTCATTCCTTGAGAAACATTTATTTTGTTCCTTTTACACAAATGAAAATTCTAGGAATTAGATGTGTAAACCACCAAATTAACAAACGCAAGGTAAAAGTTAACTTGGATACCATGTTTCTATAATACACATGATAGTTTTGTTATTGTTAAGCACAGAAAAGCATGCATGACTTAATTGATTTCTTTATTTGATCCGCAACACGATGACCCTCAATCAAAAAATCAACAAACCATGACTCAATGAGCGCTTTAATATTTCTTAGGATGTACCATATTAAGCTGAATAATTTTATCTCTTACACAGAGAGAATAGAATAATCCTTGAAGAAATCTAAACTACCTTATTTTATCTTTTATTACTACATGCACAAAAGGGAAAGACTTCAAGTATTAAGGCCATTCCCATATTTGTTTCATTCATAGCCCCATTAGAAACATATTCTTACTACTGCACACACCCCCACCCACCCAGTGGCACAGCGGCATGTCTGCGAACTTAACATCCCTAGCAACCAGATCACATACAGCCCATTGTGTAACTTTATGCTTAACTTCAAACAATACTACTAATTGTTTTGTTTATTTCCTGCTTCGGTATGGTTGGTTGGTTGTCTTGCTATCTGCGCCTAACAACCAGTATAAAAATTAAAAGTAAAACTCTATAGAAACGTAAAAAGAAGCAAACTAAAAGCTAAACGATGTCCAAAAATAAGACAAAAAAACTCAAATAGATGTAAAAAGACCAATGTCCCGTAAAAAGCTAAAAACACATTCAAGCCAATGACACTGTCCAATGTCGGGGGTAAATCCGGAGAAAAAACATGTCTAAAATGGTGCCGCCGCTCACAGTCGTAACGACGACACGAAAGCAAAATATGGACAATTGTGACTTGAGTGTCACAAAGGCCACACATTGGTGGATCAGTCCCGTATGAAAGAAAAACTTGTATATGAAAAATTACTTGAAATTGAACTTATTACATACTCAGTTTTTGTTTTGTCCATCAGTAACGAACGTAGAATTAAAGCTGTAAACATACTTTCTAGTGTTATTGTTCTGTTGTGTTCGAAATTAAACAATTTTAGCAATACTAAGTTTATTTATTATAAATAGATCAGTTTGTGATTACTCAACAACACATTTATATTTCTAAGTCTAAGGGCCCGGCATGGCCAGGTGGTTAAGGCACTCGACTCGCAATCTGAGGGTCGCGTGTTCGAATCCCCATCACACCAAACATGCA